TTGTTGTCATAGGTCATGCTGTTCTTAAGTTATTTGATTACAAGTCTTCTTTTCGTAACGACTAGAAGCAAGGGATAACTTCTTGTATTTTGTGCCACAAAACGTAACTTATGTTTAAATGTTGCATGGCTTGCACAACATTGTTTGAGGGCCAATTGACGACAGCTATATACGGAATTCGTGCTTACGAACGTCAGATATGAGTGACTCCACAATTATATTTGTGTTGACATTGAATGCCGCGAAGCCATTGGAATGGCATGACACAACTGCCATTGTTATGCCTGCATAAATGCCTGGGTTACCTTGAAATAGCCAGCACGAAATAGTGTGCACATCTTCGCGGGCGTGTAGCTAAGAAACTAGAGCATTTTAGGTCTTAGGAAGGGCGTGGTTGTGAACTGCAACTAATAATCTTCAAGATGCTGTTTCAGTTCAAAACCCCATGCACATGTGATATGTGTTAATTTGACCCCTCCAAAGGTTTTTGCAGGATTATTTCCGAACGAGGCAGTGTAGTCCCTCCAAACGTTGCATTGCTATAGGCAACTGAATAGGGGATCTTTTGGTATCCAACATTTATATTTACCTTGTAACGTCACTGACCAAGGGCAGGTCAAGATCAGGCCGTGGTTGTCAGGGGAGGCAATTTCTAGGGAATCGTTCAATGCGATGCGACAATGGAACGTCGGACGAAACCATGCAAGTCTGAGATAGTTCCGTAATGAAAAAAAAAGAATTTATGATCACAACCAATTCCATTGATCTAGGGTCAAGTATGAGGGTTAGACCGAAGGCAACAGTAACCTAGGTTTTCCCGAGTTTGCTGATTGGAGTAGTTGCTGGTGCTTATTTTAAACTCGGTAATAACGAGGACAGAAACAAAATCTTCTGTGCGCATTTTAGAAGCCAAAAAAAGTTACCGCCATTACATAACGCAGGTCAATATTTTGTTTTTAGGAGCTTGCAGCCTTGCGTAATCCTTGGCGCTTATTCAAATGTTAAAATCAAGCATGTCTTTTATTATTCTGCTCACCATGAACTCATAAAGGTGAATTAAGGTTACTGGCCTTAATTGCACACCGATGACCTTTTGCTTACAACAGGTAGCTAGGTCGGCGGTCGATGCATGCGAAGGTCTGGGGCACTTTGGACACCAATTTGGAGTTTAATCTTTTTTACCTTATTTGACCCGAAAGTCATGACTAAGGAACCTCAAATTTCGACACAAATGAGTCTTCACACAAGCCAACTTACCCTGTAAATTTGGTATCTTAGGCCTGGCTAGTTTTTTAGATCTTGGGGGACAAATGAACCCCAGCTGAAGGAAAGGGTATTGAACTCGCGCGCGGGTTAATAGAGACCACCGTCCACGCTCTTCATTTCGCGAAGCTAGTCGAGAATTGATCTGATGGCAAGCATTGCTACCTCACGTTTATCTCCAGACGCTTCGGCCTGTCCAGGTCGGGCGGCTCACCCTTCCACTTAACGAATATTTGCCCGATCTTGAAACGTACACTTCGTGCAGAATTTTGCACCATGGCCCTGAGCACTAAGATAGGTATTGCAATCGCTAGCGTGCCATTAAGTGTGGAACTTCTTGCACCGCACTACCCATAAAAAGAAAACGCTGTGCACCGTTACTCCATTTAAACAATTTACTGCATTGCACAAGCAGCGCCAGGCGGATTTCATCGCGTTTATGGTGCGGATCGGTGCATGAAATGAAATGGGATAGCACAATTAAAACCAGCAAAACGAATTGAAATCGACCAAAATTCAAATACACAAATGTGGCTAACTGACGCTTCCGCATTCTGAAACTTCTCGACTACTTCATTCTTACCAACGGGATCTTCTTCGGCAGGGAAATCCATAGTGTATCGTTATGATGCAAGATACCGTGCTGGGCTTGGTCCGAAGGTGCTTATTTCATGGTCAAAATGTCCTTTTGCCGTCCCAGTGTCATCGAAGACGAGTTTTAGTAGTACCGACGCTCTCCACAGGACTCTCTGAAGCTGTTAGACGCGCATAAGCTTTGTGATTACGTTGACATTTACTCTGCATTATTCGTGCATATAATGCTGTACAGTTTTAGCTGCTCTGCCTATGTACGCTGTGTGTGGGCGTCGGGTGTAGGTTGTAGCTAGCAGACAGTATCAAACATAGAAACATAAGACAACTTGAGTGTTATGTTACAGCTTGTGTCATCCGTCGCTAGGGTTGGTGTGCACACTTGTTGTATGTTAGGCCGTCCTAGCTGCATCAGCCTTTCTCTTGGGCGGCTTTCCAACATGTGTATGACTGTCTCGTCGTGTTTGTTCATCACCGTGGGCTTCTATGATACTCCTCACGCTGAATTATCTGTGCATCAATATATTTGATGGAATGTCTACTTGTGCGCACCACATGGTGCAGCAGTCTGTCACCGGCTTTTGTCATGGTGCAACAGTCTGTCTGGCTTTTCGGAGGGACTGGGACGAGGTATGGGTGTTAATATTAAGTACTAAATGAGCTCAACGGGAGGTTCTTCCCGGTTAGCTCGGTTGGTGCAGCACCGGACTCGCAACCAGAAGGCCCTGGGTCGAAGCTCACCAGTTTGAAGAAGACTATTCAGGTTGCAGGTTTACATAGCCCAAAAACGGATCTCACCGTGCATGTGCACGCACGCGGCTTCGCAGGATGCATCACCACAGTATTGCCGACGGGTAGGACGCATCACCACAGTATTGCCGACGGGTAGGACGCATCACCACAGTATTACCGACGGGTAGGACGCATCACCACAGTATTACCGACGGGTAGGACGCATCACCACAGTATTACCAACGGGTAGGACACATCACCACAGTATTACCGACGGGTGCCTATCCTGTCGGGATTTGGTCCACCAGCTCCCTCTGCCTGTAAAACAGTAAGGTCTACGAATAGGGAAAGAACAAACACCTATAAGACGGACAGACTTGAATGATGGGAACAAATGTATGTGAATTTAACGGCATATCAGCGCGCGTGAGAGTGCAGAGATCAAACTTTGTTACATAAGTACAACCACGTGTTCACGTGTTAGGCCCATCCTGCCCCAGGCATATCAGAGATGCAGAGGACGCATTTTCCCAACACGAACACTAGAGACCTCTGAATATTCTTTGGAGTATTCCCACACGTATCTTTGTGTCATTGCGTAGTTGGGGCTCGGGTGGAAACGATTTGATGGAACAATGGGCGATCTTGATGTTTGCCTAGTTTGTAAGCGTTATTTTATGCTACATGCACACACATTTACGTGGCATCAATTATCTCAAAGTTTGCTTGAGAAGGTTGTAGGACTGGCAAGGTTTGCAGCCGTTGATTTGCAAACAAGTGGAGGTTTACTCAAGCTGGCTTACTAACATATTGATGGTCCAAGTCTGCAAGGAATCAGGCGTACTGAATCATCTTAAACGGTTTATTCCCTCAGTGAACACAAAATCCCTTAAAAAATGGCTCTTCAGTTCTTACCGGAACGGAACGACTGAACTGTGCCAGCTTTATGAATTGTCGGAGGCCTAATGTCATGAACTTACCCGTCTCAAAACACTTACCCGTCTTAAAACACTCACCCGTCTTAAAACACTTACCCGTCTTAAAACACTTACACGTCTTAAAACACTCGACACATTCGCCTGCCCGTTTTCCAACGAGCCCATGCTGGAGCTGAAACCTAGCGGAATTTTTGCAATAGAGCTAAAAAAAACAAAGTGACGGAAAAGAATGTACCAAATTAATCAGGCGAATGTGCTACAATTCCTTGCGCACCATGACTTTGAAACCTATACATTGATCCGTGTCGGCTCAATCCGTTTAATACCAAGAATACAGATGGCCAGGTTTAATTTGCAGGCGCCCAGATTCTCAAACATCTCGGTTCTTAATGTCAGGTTAATAAATTGCGGTGTGCAGTATCTTTCAGCGCCATAGGAAACGATTGCCGTTTCAGTAACAAAGAGCTTATAAAATGCATGTACAACGTTGCTACCTCCTACGAAAGCAATGTATCTGCGTTTTGTTTAAGTTCATTTCAAGCATGACACTAGATGAATATAGAAAAATTAAACGCATCAATCTGATCTAACGTTAAGTTGTCGGTCCGGCCTATCCTGACCAGTTCCATTAATTGCTAGCAGGCCCTCCCTCACGATGTGCAACTTAATCAGTGTTATACCCTACACTGTTAATTAGCAGCTTCAAACTCGAAGAAATACAATGAATAAACCGCGAGATTTACTATAGTTTGGTACACACGCCCTCTTTAAGTGGCCTTTAACTCATGTATTTTTACATTGTTTTTGTTAGTTAAGAAATCAAAACTCACCTGTAGAGAGGATATCTGCCGTAATATAGTCAACTTACGGTTTGTCTATTGTAGTTCTTAAAGTTTGAGACCGCATTCAAGGCTGTACGGTATAACAGTGACTAGTTCACTTACGCCGTTAGTTTATTGAGTCCAGTCTGGGCCTGATCCGTGCTTCTGTGAAATTCTTCTATGCGGTGTGTTCCAACACAACACAACACCCACACGAGTATGTCATCCATGACGACCTGCACTGTTATTACGTAACGGATTCTGCAGCTTTTCAGTGAGCTTGCCGGACGCGGAGGTGGAATAGGTGGCGAAAACTTGCTCTGTTGAAATTTTTAGTCTTTCTGCGTACGTGCTTTATTTTGTTTCATTTTTGTTTTCATGAAGTTCCAGCTGAAGGGATGTAGGAAGTGTAGGTATTTTCATCAGTAATGCTAATGTCTGTGGCTGCCCAAGATCCAGCAGCTGGTGGTTCATCTTCTCTCAAGATTTCACCAGCTCGACCTCAGTCTGGTGTGATCGCTCTCAGACCTCTGACCCTTCCTTGCCTCTTCGGACAGCGGCGGCCGTGCGATGACCCACCGACCGTTGCAGCCGCTCAAGCCGCCTCTCCTTCACGCCTCACACCGCCGCTAGCTGCACCACCGACACCACCTACTCGTTATGCCATTTTTATTGCGTGTTTTTGCTACTCTCAGCAGGGACAGGACAGAGGAGAGGACAGGGGCGACACGCAGGCGGGGAGCCAGCACACACGGGTCCTGATGGTCGGCGGCGGCGCGGCGGCAGTCTCTGGGGGGAGAGGAGTCTTGTCAGCGGGCGCTGGGCCTCGCTGTGCTCGCTCGCCGTGGTGTCTGTGACGTCATTGGCTCACGTGGCGCCTCTAGTGGGCGGCCACGTGGCAGCTGCAGGCGCTCGGCAGGCGGTAGATGTCGATGAACAGGCCCTTGTACGGGTCGCACGGGTCGAACGACAGCATGCGGTGGTAGATGTACTTCTGCGTGCACTTGCTCTTGTAGCAGGGGGCCAGCGCGCGGCAGGCGGCGTCCGGGTACAGGCAGGTCTCCACCCTGGCGGCGGAGGCAGGTCAGGTCAGGTCAGGTCAAACAGCAGCCTGCCGATGCGTGCGTTCCCGAGCCGGCGGGTGGGTCGAGACCGAGGCGGTGATTCATTGGACATCATGATTAGCAGATGTACAATGAACGCTGAGGGACAATTGCCGCATAGCACCGGTGGTGTGTTAAAGCTCGCATAGATGTTGTGAGAATACCCTTTGTGCATGATCATCCAGAGGGGCTATGCCTCTCACCTCCCGATCATCTACCATGGGAATGCTACGTAGTCAACCTTTGCTGTACCACCAGGCCGTGACGTCCCAGATCAAGGTACGCACTTACTGCCCCACCATCGCCCACCTCATCAGCACGGCACCTCCATCCCATCCTACCAACAGCGACTTGGTTCTTTATCCGCCCATGCAAGTGCCATGGCATGGATGTGGTACCGTCAGGCTGACTGTCGCTTTGTAACCGCGGAAAACTCCTGTCCGGCACAGGCATCGAACCCAAGGCTGTCCACCCACCTGGCGGTCTGGGTGTAGTAGTGCACGTCGTTGACGATAACGCGCCACTCGCCGGCAACGTTCTGGGCGCGGCGCGGCATGGCGTAGGCCACGTCGCTGGGGCATATGTAGCCGGCGGGACCAGCCCAGTGCGTCACATCATACGGGCTGTCGCCGGTGGAGGCGCCGGTGTAGAAGCCGTAGTCGAACGCCTCCTCCTGCTCCTTGGTCAGGCCCTCGACCAGGTCGTCGGCCGACTGGGTGCCGATGTCGGCGTACTTCTTGGCGAAGAGGTGGTCCTGCGCGATGGCTGCCTTGATCTCGTAGGCGGGGTACTCGGCGTCCTCAACGCAGTAGGTGGCGCTGCTGTTGGCTGCGCAGGCCGGGGCCGCCGTGGGGTCGCAGTAATGCTGCTTGTAGGCGCCCTGACGGACACGGACGGTTAGAGCCGGCGCGTTTAGGGCGGGGGGGGGGGCAGGCAGTGAGTAAGGTTAAGATTTGGATGAAGCTGTAGGGAATTGACACGTTCATGGTTAAGAACAACAGTTTGTTAGAATTTGCTGTTCTAACGTGACTGAACTTCACAACCCGCAGTTATCACGCAGTCCTCGATCATCACACCGCCTAAGCCGGCTGGGACCAGGACCAGGACTAGGACCAAAACCAGGACCAGGACCAGGACCAGGACCAGGAGCGGCTTGGCCGCGACTCGCAAACTCTGCAGCGCGCGGCATTCGTCGGCGGGCCGGTGGCGCCAGAGCGGGCAGGCGGTGCTCACTGGTGGGGGCCAGGGCTAGGAGGCGGTACTCACGTGGTGGGGGGCCGGGTGGCCGCCGTACTGGGGCGGGTGGACGTTGGCCGCAGCCAGGGCGGCGCACGCCAGCAGGCTGATCTGAAAGCGAACACGAGCTGTGACGGAGGTGCGAGGCCAGCGCCAGCGGTGGAGGAGGCCCGCAAGCCATTGGCCTCCCCTAGCACTCCCACCGGTGTCGTGGGCACTGTACGCCGCGGGTGACATGTATTAATTCGACACGTTGGTGTCTGTATTTATTATATATATATATATATATATATATATATATATATATATATATATATATATAAATCATTGAATGGCATGCCCTTTCCCCAAAGCGTCGCAAAGGATAGTGCATTTTTCGCTACTTTACGAGCTCTCTAAGACAGACAGAGATACCTGCTACGGAATACGCCTGGCAAAAGAACGACTCCGTGCAAAACACCCGTCTTTTAACTAAAAAAACGACAGATTTAGCAAGCGTCTAAAGCCTTTCTCCCGCCCACTCGCCATTTTAAGCGCCATGACGTTGAAGGGGGAGGTGGAGAGAGGTGCTGAGGCTGTTCACTCTGCCTTCTGCTGGCCGCGCGCAGCTTTTATACCCGCTGCGTCGGCGCATGCGCTGTGCGCCCGGCCGCGCGGTACTCTTTCTACGCTGCTGCCGAATGTTGGTATTGACATGAGAGACACCCTGTTTTTCCATGCTATGGGTATCTGGGACTCGTGTATCATGGTGCATCATTAATCGATTCTGGGATATCATCTTCAACAGGTGGATGAGCATGGAAGGTGCTCTGTTTTTCCATATAATGTATCTAGCATACCGGTATAACGTTGTATCATTGTAAGATACCGGGCTTCTATCTCATCAACAGGTGAATGGACATGAGAGGACACCCTGTCTTTCCAGATAATATATCTGGGATCGTGGTATCCACCGTAAATCATTATACGAGACCGTAGTCCCATCTTCCACCGACAAATGGACGCTAAGGGGCACACTATCTCTAATGACGGGGGACCTATCAGCACCGTGACAGCGGCACATGAACGGGCGATTCTTGCGAATGCATCATGAAATGTGTCGATGGCATTGGTAGCCTTCTTGCATGTGTATCGTTGTGTGTATACTACTAGGTAGTTGTAGACAGTGTCACGAATGAGTTTTTCATCTATTTTGTAGGCGGTGGACATCCTCCCTCATGCATAAGAACGAAAAACATGTTTAGATCGTACAAGCAGTTCAACATGTTAGTCCATTGAGATTTGTTGCTTTTCAGAAGCACCATATTGCATGTGCATGATGATGCGGCGAGACAGTGCTGCTCTGCGACGAATATGGGACGAGTTGCTGCTGCGTGCACAGTCGCCGAGAGGGCACTGAAACTCCTGTAAGACGTTGGTAGCCTTGAGAGCGGATGTGTCTCGTCCTAAGTCGCTGGTTGTGGCAATGCCAATATATGTGGATTTGGGAAAAAAATCAGTAGTTTAATTTTTCTCCCTGGCTTAATGGTACACAATGTCTGAAGACAATGTCACGAAGAGCTTTTTCATCTATTTTGTCGGAGTTAAACAAAATAGATGAAAACTTTAAAAGATAGTGCTCTTTCAAAAGTAATAGTATTTTATTCTATAGTGACATGGAATAAAATAATGTTTTTATCTAAATATGACATATTTAGACAAATTCTATAGTGCTGGCTTTAAGGGATAGTGCTATTTCTAATGGTACGCGGTCTTTAAAGACAATGTCACGAACAGCTTTTCCATCTGCTTTGTAGGCGGTGGACATGCTAACTTTAAAGAACAGCTTTGTTTGTCCGCCTTGGTCGCCGTCAGATTCGTGAGGTTCGCGTCTCTAGCGGTGCGAGAAAAGTATGTGTTAACTTGCCGTCTGATATGGCCGTCTATATTATTCAGGCTGGGGTTGTTGTTTAATACGCGCCCGGGTGACTGGTTGAATACCTTTAGCTCGGGTGAGGGTGCAATTTGACCGGCTCTTCCTGAGATCTCAGAAACCAAGACACCTACACACAGCTTATTTCACAGGGATGCGTTGGCTTATACGTGAACTCACCTGTGTCAAAATTTGAGGTTTCTAGATCATGGCTTACGGGTCAAATGAG